AAGTTTTGATTTCTTAAAAAAAAGAAAGAAAATAAAATACTTGCATGCACACACACACATAAAATAAAATATATATACAAAAACAATAATTACAAATTAAAATAGTATATCACAAATAACAACTTTACTATTTAAATATGTTAAAACTGTCTATTTTTGAAATATTGGGAGTTCATGTATAAGCCTGATATTTTGATTATTGATATTTTCTATTAAATTATTATTATTTTTTTTTTGAGTGGGTTTTCACAATAAATATGGCAAAGTAGAATGTTAAAACAATTATTGCATTAAATACAATAAATATTTTAAATTATTATTTTGTATAAAATACATATTTTATCAATAAAATAATTAGTAGTTTTTGCAGTTACATTTATAGCCCTAAAAACAGATTTAGTAAAATTATTTTCTGAGGATCCCCCAGCACCCCTTTACAGGCACCAGGGGGTTGCCTTATAGGTAAGATAAAATATTTATGTTGCAACTGAAACAATCCCCCTGGTTATTTAATAACAGCATCACTGGCAGGGACTCCACAAGTTTGTGCAACACCTGATGTTACCAGCATAATCATTACTGTAATTGCAAGGCCAAAATTTAAATCAGGAATGATCTGATCACAAGAACAATTACTGATAGCTATCTTACCGCTGCTGCCTTCATGTTGGACTCCCAGCAGCTCATCAAAGCAGTGTAAGGTACTACTCTGAGCGGCACTACCACCTGAAAACTCCATTGGCTTCTCCTGAACTTCCTCGTACACGAGACCTTCTGGCATTAATGGGTTATCTTTCCATCTAAAACCCACATGCAGAAGGAGAATAACATTTGTATAAATTCAAAGGAATCCAAAAAACCTAAAGTATGGCTTACCCGGACAGATAGATCCTCACAATCCCGTAGAATATGGAAGGATCTACATAGTCTGAAACAGTAAATATGTATTTGTCACATGAAGTATTAAAACCACTTGAATAAAAGTTCATTTTTTTATCCTAATAGTATTACCATGCATTAGTTTAAAGGCCTGTTTCATGCTGTCTATGGCCTGACTGACAACATCCAGAGCTTTGGTGACCATAGCAACATCATTATAATGGATGCCATTGATGACATCAAGGATAGACTGTGAAAAAAGAAACAGCTAGTATTACCACGGTACAGTAATGTAATCAGATGGTAATTCCACATTGTAATTTTTTTTTTGCATTAGACAGTAATATTTCAGTCTTTCTACTTCAGAATTGTATTCAATGCGTTACTTGCCATTTCTTTGTGTTTTGAGTAATTTACTAGCAATTTCTGAGTGAAAATTGTTTAAAAGTAAATCGGACACTTTTTTCAATGCATATGTGCATGCCATGGAGCATCAAAGTAATTAAACAAATACTAGCATAGTATATCAAAGTAAATTATTGGCTAATATGGCTCCTGTAGCTCAGTGCTCTGCATGTGAACTGTGGCATTTGTAAAGGTGTCAGACCTTCAGGCCAGGAACAGCTGCCAGCTCCACCAGCAGTGTCACCAGAAAAAATCCTCTTACACTTTCCCCACCAGGCAAGGTCAGCAACAACTCCAAGTTCCTTTCAGGAAGCAAGAACAGTCACCATGAATGACTGCTTCAGAATCACTAGCCACAACTTACATCAACATGTGTTTTTTATTTTATTTTATTTTTTACATGTTGTAATTGTGGTGTCTAATTCTTGACATAAATGTAATTATAAGGTCAGATGCTGCAAAGGGTATCTGAATTCACACAAAGCATATTTACATATTCACCTCTGAGCATAATGAGATGGCT